AAACCTATATAATAAATAAAAATGTTTAAATGTTTATATTAAATTTAAAAATTTATTTTTTTACTATAAATATATTGATGTATCTACATTTTTGCACTGGACCATATAAGTAATTAATAAAAAAATATAGTAATATAAGTATTTTTGTAATAAGAAAGAAATGATTTTTTTAAGTTAATATTAAATTAGCTTTTTTTTTCTTTTCATTACAAAGTACTTATATAGAATAAGTGCTGAAAAAAGGAACAAATTGATATTTAATATTTTATAAATAATGATTTATTTTTTATAAATAATGCTAATTATAATAAAAATAGACATACTGTATTTATTTACAATTTTAATTCTTTCAAATAATATTTTATTTTTATTAATTAATTGAATTCTTTATTTTTTGAATTAAGATCACTTTTTTTTGTTCAAAAAATATTGTGCAAAAACGCGAAATATTTTTTTCAAAGATAAATGTTACACGACAATTCCGTCTAGAAGAATCATCCGGACATTGACAATAAAAAATTATTTCGAAAGTGAATTCATTTATATGTTCAAAAAGATTAGTTATATAATTTAGTTCGTGTGACATTAATTAATTACAAGAATTTATATATAGAAACCAAATGTTGAAAATTTTAATATATTGCAGAAGACCCAACCCATACAGTATACTTAAGTGATTGCATGTAATAGAAATAAAAACAAATTATTGATCGAATAAATTAATTGATTAAAATTGACAACATTTTTAATAAATTGTGCAGTAAGCAAAGAAATTCAAGAAATTTTAATTTAAATTGTGTGTAACAAACATTCAAAAAAAATTCGAAAAAATTCGTTAAGGATCGTTGTCGTGGATGTGCGAGCACTAAAAATACCTTTGATATCGCATTGAAAAAAAGGCATATGGAACGGATGGTCCACAATAATTCTTAAATTTTTTTAAAAAAAGAAATTTAAATGCTTTAATAAAATGCCGTGTTATAAAAAATTCTGAATGATTTAATATTATTTAATAGGTGATTCGCCGATCAAATATTTATCAGTTCTTAAACCTGTTATAATAGGGTTTATTTAATATGAAACTGTAAAACTTAAATTACATTTACAAAGAGCATTGTCATATCTCACACGACATTGTTCAAGAAAAATTAAACAATGATCAGTCCAATAAATGGATGGCGAAAAATGCGGTGAGTTTTCACCTGATTGAAATTTAATTGGTTGTTTTCTAATCACAACATGTTCGTTTTATAGAACGATATCAATCGTCATCAATTAAAGCATGAATTCATGTTACAAGACAGAAATCTTTCTATTATTTCTATATTAAACGAAAACCTTGATAGTTTGTTTATTTGAGTGCATCGTCGATCAGTAACAAATTAATTCGTTGTAAATCTTTCGTTTTCATTAGGTCGCACTGTTCGACCTTTACGGTAATAAATTTCCTTAATAATTGGTTAATTTATCCTCTTTCTGATTGATTCATCTATTTCGAACGCAAAAGAATTTTAAAAAGAAGCGAAGATAAGTCATGTGAAATGATTATGTAATCTAAACCTACTAGTTTCAGATTGGCCGATCATTCTCTTTTTTATTCGGAGTTCATTGAGGAATTTCCAACTGGAAACTGGAATTTATCATCTTTTTTACTGAAATTCGTTCTTTATTAAATTATACCTTTCCTCCCTTCATTTTCCTCCCAATTCCTTGTAACTGATAAAGAAAAAAATGTCATATAATTTTCATTCAGATTTATTAAAAGACTTTTATCAGCTACTTAAGACCGAAATTGATTATAATGTGGTAATTCAAGTTGGGAAAACCAACTCTGATGAAAAACACGTTGACGTCAAAGAATTTCATCAACCACCTATAGTCGAAACGACCGTAATTCAAGACGAGCAAACAGACTCTAATAAAAAAGAAATTGAACTCGAAGAAGGTCGTGAGCAAGATGAAACCAGGCGAATTGAGGATAAACTTGAGACTATTGAAGAAGAAACCACGCTCACACTAGATGATGAAGACATGGAATCCACAACTTCAGTTGAACCCGAAGGGGATGTCGTAATTCATGATGAAACGGATTCTGATTCTAAAAAAGATGTTGATATTAATGACACAACGATTGACGAAACCAAAGTTGAAACCAAGATTGAAACCAAAGTTGAAACCAAAGTTGAGACCAAAGTTGAGACCAACGCTAATAATGATGACGTAGTTCACGAACGGCAAACCGACAATCAAGGCGGCGACTTTAAAGAATTTCATGTACATTCCAACATTTTACGTATTAGGTCTAAATATTTTAGTAAAATATTTTCTAATAACGAGGTCGAGAAGAATGAAGACGGAATTTATTACATAAAAAGGCCTAATATTGCTCCAGAGGCTTTTGAATTTATTCTCAAGTAAGATTGCTAAAGAAGATTTTTAAACTTTCAAAGAATCATTCATTATTAGTGATTGACTAAATCGATTTTTTTCTTTTTTTTTTTTTTTAGATATATTTATGGTGGAACCGTCGACATTACTAATAAAAGTGGAAGTGAGCTGTTGAGTATAATAGTTGCTTCGGATGAATTCTTGTTGGAAAATTTAACTAAAATTGTTGAAGATTACATTATTGAGAAACATTCTCAATACTTACGAGATGATCCGGTTGGAATTCTCCAAATTGCTTTTCACCATAAATCCCTTAATAAATTACAAGAATTTAGTTTGGAAACGATTTGTTTTGAACCACAAATTTTATTCAATTCCGATAAATTCATTCAATTACCCGACCATATATTAGAAGTCATTTTAAAACGAGATGACTTAAATTTGGAAGAAATCGAAATCTGGGAAAGTTTAATTAAATGGGGATTAGCGCAAGATAAAACTCTCAACAAAGACGTTTCTGAATGGCAACAAGAAGAGTTTCATACCTTTAAAAAAATTCTTCATAAAATAGCTCCATTAATTAGATTTCATGATATTTCTTCGAATGATTATGTTAACAAAGTCAAACCTTTTGATGAAATTTTATCCAAAGAGCTAAAGGATGATATTTTAAAATTTCATATGGCTACCGGATACACTCCAACGTACAACACAACTTCAAGATCTGTCGAATGCGATAAATTTGATTCGAAATTAATTAATTATCTGCATTTTATACAATTTGCAAATTGGATCGATAAGAAAGAAGCAAATTCAAAACACATTAAAGCTGTTCCTTATGAGTTTAATCTTTTATATCGAGGTAGTAAAGATAAATTTAATGCAAAATCATTTCATAAAAAATGTGACAAGAAAGATTGTACCATCACTATTGCAAAGATTAAAAATTCAAATCAAATAGTCGGAGGTTATAATCCGCTTAATTGGGGAGGAAATGGAGTCAAAGGTACATCTGATAGTTTTATATTCTCATTTGACGATTATAGAGATATTAATACGGGAGAGATCGGCAGAGTGGTGAATTCAGATTGTGCTGTGCAATGTCTCAGTAATTATGGACCAATCTTTGGTTCCTACGTAACAAATTTGTCTGTATTCAAAAAAGCAGATAAAGTTTCCCCAGAAGATCAAAATCCGGAAGTTGGTGGTAATGGTATAATGATGAGGCCAAATGGTAAATGGAGGTCTTTTCCATCTTCCTACCCTAAATTGAATATCCCGAAAGAATTTGAAATTGAAGATTACGAAGTATTTCAAATTGTAAAGAAACCTGCAAAAAATACTTTAAAAAACGAAGTGAAACAGATATATACATGATTATGTGAATAGCTTATTTATTATTTATTTATTTCATTATTTATTTTTTATACATTTTAGTTATAGAATTCTTTTATAAAATAAATCATTATTTATTATATTTTGAAAATATAACAATAAATGATTTTTAATTATCAATAAAATTATTATTTTGATATAAGGTCGGGAAAATCAAATTTTTAGATTCGCGTTCGAAAAATGGGAAATACAAAATTTTAAACATGACGTATGAAAGTTTTCCTATCTTTTATGTTTTTTGTCTTCCGAATTTCCCCACCAATTATTAGTGCCTGGAAAATATTTTTTTGCGCCTTAAATCCCCAAAAATTGACTTTAATTATTACTTTTTTTAATAAAGCGGAAAAATTTTTTTACTTGAAATTTGGTTGTATTAATATTTCTTTTATACATTTTCACTTTTTTTTTTTTCAAACATAATGTCAATACCTTCTCATGATTTATTTACTTTAGTTATACTAAATCTGTTAAATATAATAGAAAAAATTTATGAAATTCAACAATTTTTTAATAGTGATCAATGTAGTTGCAGAAATCTAAAATAATAAAGATATTCATACTCATACTTGTTTTGGAAAAATTGAAAAATTGGGTTTAAACTGTTTTATAATATATTGAATTTAATAAATTAAATAAACAATAATTGGATTTACTATTAAAGATTAATTAATAACATTTGCTTATAACAAAAAACAAATTTCTGATATTTTAAAGAAAAATTCTCCAAACAAAATACATTAGAATTTACAAATTTTTATGTAGATTTTTATAGAATAGTAAAAAATTAAATAAATATTTGATATTATAATATATTTTATATATCAGTTTAACAAATGAATTTTCTAATTTAACTTTATAATCTAAAAATACAGTGGCTCACAAAAGTAATGCAACCGCTAAATACAAAACTTTAAATTAATGTAACTTTTTATTTATAAATT